TTATTTTGGAGGTCTCACTCTCAAAGTTGGGAGCCAGTCCGTTTATCATCTTCCAAGTGTACAGTATGATATACCTTTCCCTTCTTCTCTCCAGTGAGTACAGTTCCAGGTGTTTCAGCCTTCTCCAGTAGTTCAGGTTCAGCTCCCTCATGCCGCTGATCCTGTACGTGAAGGTCCGCTGCACTGCCTCCAGTTTCCGCACCGCACCCGCTTTGAATGGTGTCCAAAGCTGACAGCAATACTCAAGATTGGGGAGCAGGAGGGCTCTGAAGAGTGTAATAATTGGCGCTGCTTCTCTCGTTCGAAATGTTCCCCAGATCCACCCCATCCTTTTCACCATCACCACCAGCTGCCGGGACCCTGCACGCCACACCACCACCACCACCACACCACAACTCCACCACCACCACACCACCATCTGCCGGGACGCTACAACAGGAGGCTTGTTGCCAGTTCCAGCTCTATTGTGGGGCGCGTGATTACACAACAGACGTTAGGACAATAGCGCTGTTTGCTTTATTGTGCAGCGTTTGGTGCGCATATCAAGCATACGTGAGCATACTTAGGCATACTTGCATGAACACGCAACACACGCAGGCGTGAAGACACACACGCAGGCGTGTAGACACACACGCAGGCGTGTAGACACACACGCAGGCGTGTAAACACACGCAGACCTCCGCAAGAGATAAGAGCGGCCGCAGTCGCACGGCTACACGCAGAGTCAGCGAAATTCTCGGCAGATCTCAAACATTTTCACACGCACATACAAGCACGTACACGCACACAAACACGCACAGACACGCACACACAGGCACGCACAAACAAGTTGCTTGTATGCCCGTCGCTTACTTCCTGGTGCCCCACATCGGCTAAGGGGCGTTAAATCCAAGCAATAATTACGGTTATTAATATTATTATTATAATTATTATTACTAGTATTATTAATATTAATATTATTATAATATAATATAATAGCGGTTTCAGCGTTTATTAGGCCGTGGGCCTGTCGCCGATTCTTAACATCGGAGAACATTCACAGCTTGTTGCGGTCTCAAACTCGCAACTCACTGCTACAATTCTGCTGTGCTTAACCGCCCGGCCTGGCGCACAGAGCTGGGATCGAACCCGCGCCTCTCTGCGCCAATCCTGGGACTCTGAACGTTAACCACTGGGCCACCCAGCCACGGAATTATTAATAATAATACGGCTTTTATAAGCTTTATTAGCGAGTAAGATTTATATATGACAGTTCTCAGCTGAACGAGGCCTTGACCTTCCGTGTTGAAGGCTGGCCAAGTCCCCCCGTGTTGAAGTGGGCTACCACGAGGTGGTGTGGTGGTGTCGAAGTGGTGGTGCTTGTAGTAATTTTTGGTGGTTTCTTTTGGTCTTGTGTGGTGGTGGTGGTGTGGTGGTGGTGTTGGCGTGGCGTGGTGTGGTGGTGTGGTGTTGTGGTGGTGGTGTGGTGTGGTTGTGGTGGTGTTATTGGTATAGAGTCGTTGTGGTAATATTGTAGATGATATTGTGTAGTAAGTGGACTTTCCTAAATGAAAAACATCTTACCATAGACTTGCGCTCGAGACAGCGCATGTCTATAGCGTAATGTGAAGCACTGCGCGCAGAAACAGCGCATGCGCATAGCGTAATGTAAAGTCCTGTGCGCAGAAATAGCGTATGCGCATAGCGTAATGTAAAGTCCTGCGCACAGAAATAGCGTATGCGCATAGCGTAATGTAAAGTCCTGTGCGCAGAGACAGCGCATGTCTATAGCGTAGTGTGAAGTCCTGCGCGCAGGTAAAGTCCTGTGCGCAGAAATAGCGTATGCGCATAGCGTAGTGTAAAGTCCTGCGCACAGAAATAGCGTATGCGCATAGACAATAATTAGCCCGTAGACCCTCAGTCTGGCGTAGACCTTGACACAGAAGCGCGGCGAGCTTCCGGTGCGCGCAGCCACTGCGCATGCGCGTATAATAAAGACCTACGCTTTCACACAAGCAAGAGTGGTGCGTAAAGGATGTAGTGCGAGCGTAGTCCGGTCTGAAGACGATGAATTGGCGTGCGAAATGTGAACGAAATGCGTAAAATATTTTCGTATAGCGAGTTCCGTTTTTTTTATAGGAGGCGTAGATACAAAATTCTTGCGTCACATAAGCAAGGGGAATGACTAGGACTGTCATCATCACGTGTGGTGACATCATCACTGGGTACGGTAAACAGCAATGATTGCCGCAGCAATGAAAACCGCAGCTAAGATAACAGCAGCAATGAAAACAGCAGCAATGATAACAGCAGCAAAGATAACAGCACAAATGCTAAAAGCACTACTGATAACAGCACCACTGATAACAACACTAATGCTAGCTAGCAGCACTAAATGCTAGTATTGCTACTGATAACAGCACAAATAACAGCACTAATAATAACACCAATAACAGCACAAATAACACAAATAACACCAATAACAGCACAAATAACAACACCAATAACATCACTAATAATAAAACCAATAACAGCACAAATAACATCACAAATAAGAGCACTACCACACGCCTAACCGTCAATAGCGTGTCGCGTGTACCGCCTCCTGGCAGCGAAGAGCTCAGCGACGTCCCGCAGCGCCAGGTTGAAGTGCTTGTCGAACGCCACCACCCGTCCCGTCAACACGCTCCGCACACCACGCTCACTGCGCGTGTATACCTGCGTGTTGTGCGTAGTGGTGACATATTAGGTGCATGACACGCTCACTGCGCGTGTATACCTGCGTGTTGGGCGTGGTGGTGACGTTAGGTGCATGACACGCTCACTGCGCGTGTATACCTGCGTGTTGTGCATAGTGGTGACGTTAGGTGCGTGGTGGTGACATTAGGTGCATGGTGGTGACATTAGGTGCGTGGTGGTGACATTAGGTGCATGGTGGTGACATTAGGTGCATGGTGGTGACATTAGGTGCATGGTGGTGACGTTAGGTGCATGGTGGTGACGTTAGGTGCATGGTGGTGACATTAGGTGTGTGGTGGTGATACATGGTGCATGACACGCTCACTGCGCGTGTATACCTGCGTGTTGGGCGTAGTGGTGACGTTAGGTGCATGGTGGTGACATAAGGTGCATGACACGCTCACTGCGCGTGTATACCTGCGTGTTGTGCATAGTGGTTACATTAGCTGCATGACACGCTCACTGCGCGTGTATACCTGCGTGTTGTGCATAGTGGTGACGTTAGGTGCATAACACGCTCACTGCGCGTGTATACCTGCGTGTTGTGCATAGTGGTGACGTTAGGTGTGTGGTGGTGACATTAGGTGCATGGTGGTGACGTAGGTGCATGACACGCTCAATGCGCGTGTATACCTGCGTGTTGTGCATAGTGGTGACGTTAGGTGCGTGGTGGTGACATTAGGTGCATGGTGGTGACGTTAGGTGCATGGTGGTGACATTAGGTGCATGGTGGTGACATTAGGTGCATGGTGGTGACATTAGGTGCATGATGGTTACACCAAGTACATGATGGTTAATTATGCTAATAACTTATATTTTAATTCACATCACAAGTACTGTACAGAGAGCGAGGCAAGCACACAACATTTGTGTGGGGCATTTGCATAACAATGCTGTACACTCTACACCTGTGTACTCTACACCTGTGTACTCTACACCTGTACACTCTGCACCTGTGTACTCTACACCTGTGTACTCTACACCTGTGTACTCTACACCTGTGTACTCTACACCTGTACACTCTGCACCTGTACTTTGTACATCCGATTTATATAAATCTCATGCTAATGTCCACTTCACAAATGATGTATATTTTGTTCAAGGTTGCCACTGACACAAATGCTACTGCAAGTAAACATTATAAGCTTCCAGTGCTGGACGCTAGATAACCGAGCTTGTAATTAATTTTATCTACTTTGTTAACAAAATTTACCTCTAACTAATTTTTAGATTGTGTTAAAGACTATTAAATATATAAGAGACAATGAAATAGATAAACTGGCGTTCTTCTTGGCTGACAGCAACATAGCCAAGCAGAGCTCACCTTGACCACCGAAGCGTTGTTCTTGGCTGACAGCAACATAGCCAAGCACCTTGACCACCGAAGCGTTGTTCTTGGCTGACAACAACATAGCCAAGGGCCCGTCAGCGGCCGCCATGCGCGTCAGGACGTTGCGCACGGGCTTCGTCTTCGCCGGGATGGCGGCTGCGCATAAAATGACAGAGACAGTGACAGAGAACCCAGGCTGACAGAGACATGACAGAGAACCCTGGCTGACAGAGACAGTGACAGAGAACCCTGGCTGACAGAGACAGTGACAGAGAACCCTGGCTGACAGAGGCAGTGACAGAGTACCCAGGCTGACAGAGACTTTGACAGAGAACCCAGGCTGACAGAGACATTGACAGAGAACCCTGGCTGACAGAGACAGTGACAGAGAACCCTGGCTGACAGAGACATTGACAGAGAACCCTGGCTGACAGAGACATTGACAGAGAAACCTGGCTGACAGAGACATTGACAGAGAAACCCTGGTGGGAAATGTCAGCAGAAAATGGGCAGACAGAAAAAGTGCCAAAGGCTGGCAAAGGCAGTCTCAGAAGCAGGCAGAGCCTGTCAGAGGCTGACAGAGCCTGTCAGAGGCTGACAGAGCCTGTCAGAGGCTGACAGAGGCAGTCAGAGGCAGTCAGAGCCCCGGACGCAGCGACGCCACCACGGGAGTTATCCCGACCGACAAAAAGAGGAGCGCATGAGGCTGCCATTTGAGCGTGTGACGTCACGACAGCGCCTGTACGCAGCCACGACCTACGCCCTCGACGCCTTATTGCGTATCGTAACATGCGTAGCGTAGCCGCTGTATCGTAACATGCGTATCGTAGCCGCTGTATCGTAACATGCGTATCGCAGCCGGTGTATCGTAACATGCGTATCGCAGCCGCTGTATCGTAACATGCACATCGTGGACGGTGTATCGTAACCTGCGTATCGTAGCCGGTGTATCGTAACCGGCGTAGCAGTGCATGGATGCGTATTGCAGCCGGCGTAAAATGGCTTGCGTACCGGTATCGCAACCGGCGTAATGTACCGTATCAAACGTAGGTACGTATCGCGATAGACCTATAGCGGTATGAACAGATTTTAAAAATTGCACATCAGTTTGAGTGCCTTGAACGGAGTATTTGAAAATAACAACAGAAACAGAACTAACGACCAAAATTGTATCCACGATCGCCACAAATCGTACCGTTAACCCTAATACTGGAATTCGTTAGGGCATTGCTATGATATTTGTGTACAAAAATTTCTTACGGCGTTAAAATGACAATAGCACACTAGAATTCGTTACAGCTTTACAACAACTATCGTAATAACTGGAATTAAATGTAAAACTAGAATTAGAATACGACTCGAATAAGAGCTGCATGAGGAGACAGACTTACGACGTCGTATCGTAAAGAATCAGCAGGATCCTAAAGAGTTCGTATCTCCGGGAACACGTCAAGCTTTGGTTTACGTCAAGGTCGCCGAATACCGTTAGCTGAGTACGCACATGTGTGCGTTAGAGGAGCACACGCACATGTGTACGTTAGAGGAGCACACGCACATGTCAACTTGTTTCTCTTGGGTACACTTGCATCCACAACACAGTAACCAGCCTCGCATTTACAAACCTCTTGCGTTCATTTGGTATATATTAAATAGAAGGCACCATCAGTATTACCTATACTACAAAACATACGATATATCTTTACTCTTGAAGCTTATTTGTATTTAAATATGATGTATTCATGTAAGACTTTCACGCCAAGGCGAAACTGTGGCGCAGATCACGTGTTCACATCCACACATAAACTTAGGTCTTTGTGAAGCCAGTGTGAGAGACAAGGACTTCTTGATCCTGAGAGTACGCAGCCTTTGTCGAATTGTTGTCGCTGGATAAATGTACTCAAAGACAATCGTTTCATCCACTTAGTTATAGTTGTCTCATCTATAAAATGAAAAATTGAAGACGAAACGAATATGAAAATTTTTTCACAATGCATCAATGTAACTGCGTGAGTATGAATTAAGCTGCAGTTAAATAATTAAGTATAAGTTTAGCTGCAGTTATAAGCAAAACAAAGTAGTTAAGTATCAGCTTTCCATGCAGAATATCATTTGTACAAGTCGAGTAGCAGTTGCATACGATACTTTAATGCCAGCTGTACACGGTTATTGTCAGTCGCACAAGTCATGGATGACTTGCTCTTGTCAAGTAAGAGTCGTAGAATATGGTTGCCGCTACTCCTATAGGATAACTAGGATACGGTGGATGCCTCTCCTATAGGATAACTAGGTTACGGTTGCCGCCACGCCTATATGATATCTAGGTTACGGTTGCCGCCACGCCAATATGATATCAAGGATGCGGTGGATGCCTCTCCTATAGGATAACTAGGTTACGGTTGCCGCCACGCCTATATGATATCTAGGATACGGTGGATGCCTCTCCTATAGGGCATCTAGGATACGGCCTGTCTCTTATACACATCTAGATGTGTATAAGAGACAGCTATAGGACATATAGGATACGGCTGTCGCCACCACTATAGGACATATAGGATACGGCTGTCGCCACCACTATAGGACATATAGGATACGGTTGCCGCGACCCTGCCTCGCGTCCAGCACCGGGCGCGCGTGTACGTCATCAGAAATGTTGTGTTGACGCGGGCGGCGCCTGAGTCGTGGCAAAGGTCGGGGCTGGGTACGCAGATTCCTTCACAACAACTGCTGCCAAGCTTTGTTTTTATATGTTTTTCTTAACACATATGTCCTTTGATTCTTCTATATCTTCTTCTATATCTTTGATTCTACCAAGCCCATAACAGAGGTTGTTTCTATTATATTATAAATATTACGTATGCAATACTGAAATTTCCAGAATAAATATTGATATTTCCCATGATGGAAGGTGAAGTAAAATGCAAAAAGGAAAACGCACATAAAAAATTTTTCCGACCTATGAACTTAACTTTTTTTGTCGGCAGCTCGATTTATACATTAAATGGATGAATAATGAGTGAATAATTGTGTTGTTTTTATCTTCATCTATCATAATATCAAAAGCAACAAGCTAAAAACTTTGTGATGCAAAAGGCGACCTAGCAAATTCATCATTTGATAGTATATTGGGTCATTTAAAGTCACTTTCAAAAGCACAGAAAATATTTCAGTTTACTCCTTTTGCAATAACCTAGTAAAAAAATTGAACATAACTGTACCACAAAAACAGCCTTGAAAACCTCAGCAAATATTTCTGAGTGCCAAAAGTCGCAGGTCTCACCTTGGTCTGGAGTGAAATTCCTCTGGATCGGAGCCATCTTTGTCTGGGCTCGAGGAATGCCTCCGGGACCAACAACCTAGAAGAATGTTGCTTTAATCAATGAAGATATTAGAATGATTGTTCCTAATTTGTGGTGGGATATTGTTTTTTATTTTTAGTGTGTTAAGTTCAATTACCAGAAACCATAGTTTTCCTCCATTGCACTGTGTAAAAAGAGCACAACTAAATAGCAGAGAAACATACGAGCATCTTCTTATTTGGCACATTAGAATGCAGCTAGATAAAATTTGATAAAATGACTTTTTTGGGCAATAGGTACGGTATATATCAACAAATCATGATCTAATTTCAATTAATGTTCAATTATAGACAATATGCTGACCTGGCAATCTATAGCAACAAAATATTAATATTTATTGAGACTCCTTGCTGCATTGATGCCAAGGTACAATCATAGCAGATAGGTAGCAGTTGTCCAGACTATAAAGGGCCTTTTAAGTTGAGGTAGGGGCATCTTTTATTACTACTATAAATAAATAAATAAAGCAATCTTTACCAACCTTAAATTGGCAACCATGTTAGTTGCAGTTCTGATCACAAATGATCAATCAATCAGCCTTCCACAGATTGGAATCTGATAGGTATCTGTTTTGAATGATATTCGTTACCCATATCAATTTGGTACTGTATGCAAGTTCATGTTCATTTTTTCCTATTGAACCCATTAATCATAAATTGGATCAATCTGTCTCTATGGAGAAGATTAATGATGAACAGCATCACCAAAAATTTTACCTTACCATAGATTTTTTGGGCTATAGATTTTTTTGTCCACAGTCTGTGTTATGCCTTACTTTACAGTCTGGCCAATAGTCACTACAGTTGTTCATAGCAAGCAAATTACATATATCCCTTTTAGGCCATGAAAAATGTAGAATACTTGATATGGACTACAACACATTGTGATCAAAATGGGAGATGGATACCAACAGAAATGGATAGTGAATATGGTGGATACTGATTTCAAATCAAGATATTGGATGAAACTCATCCACACATGAGACAAAAAATGCCCATGCTTATAAAAATTTGTAACAATTCCAATAGCTTGCACCTAATTTCTTTGGTGAAAATTTAGCAAAATGGCACATTTTGGCCCATAATTTGAAATTCCCTCATTAAACAATTGTTTCTATCCAATATTTTTAGAAAATACCGCCAAATCTTTTAGCCCAGTAGGTACTAATTTATATCACGCTCATTCTCAGTCGATTGAATTTAAAATTGAAATTACAAATGGATGCTGATTCAAGGTTGAAATTGCTTGATGGAAAGTTTGATAAATATGTTAGTCTTAGCCAGACAAGGCCATAATTCATTGTCGTGCATGGAACGACCATTGTTGACTTTGTTTTCAAGATTGCCAGTCTTTGCATTAGCGTAGATCCCTGGAAGTGTGAATTAATTGACGTTTGAGTCACAAATTCATTTTTTGAACTGTGCATTTTTTAAGCCATGGAAAGCTGTTCTTGAGCTAATCTGCCAAGCCATGTGCACATATTATATAAAATCTCTCATTGTACCCTGAAAATTTCATCAAGAACATTTTTCTTCCCTTAAGATGCAATTTAGCCAACCATAAGTTGCTCTAAATTTTTTGTCAAATAAACATGGTTTTATTGCAGTCTGAAATTACCATATAAGCAAGATCATCATTAAAGCATTTAGCTGCAGTCCCAAAATGCTTTATATTTTGTCAGGAGCCTGGAACTGAACACTCTTAAACTTGCTGGCCAAGCCACTTGTAAAATTATGCTAAACCTTACATACATCAAAGAGATAGCCAGACATGGGAAACACGACCTATCTACTTTCCAACAGGATTGGAATTTTTCTACATATTACAGAAAATTTGTGGCTCCAAAGTCGCAAACATTTCATACATTTGAAATATTGCAACCTGATTGTGTACTTTTGTTAACAATACAATAGGAAGAAATTCATCTAGCAGAAAACAAGCAGCTCTAAAAATGGCAGAAAAGCTCTAGTTGCAGCTCACAAGGTACTAGATATATTCCATGCAAGCTTTCAAAGCTGTGATTATAGCTTTCCTGCACTTTTCAGAGCCACTAGTTTCCTGCTAAATGAATTATTTCCTATAAAATTGTTATCAAAAGCATGCAAATAAGCCTCAAAATTCCAAAGTTATGGGAAATATATCCCTTTTGGGCCATGAGATTTCAGTAATAAGTTTGTCTTTCCCATATTAGAACTAGCAACAAGAACCTTTTTCTTCACTTTAGATGCAAATTTGTCGGAGATAAGGTTATTTCTTTTATTTTCGACAAAGAAACAATGTATTTTATTGCTGGCTGAAGTTATGAAAATGATGAGATTTTCAGCGAAACATTTCTGGGGCCGGATTATCAAAACATTGCTACGTACACGTAGCCACTTATGTAATGTTTAAGTGCTGCTATGAAGACGTAACTCTAGTGGTGGTATTATCAAAACATTTGTGCGGGAAGCTACGTACAAGAATCTGTGCATAACTGTACACCAGCTCAGGGGTTGTAAGATAGTTACGTACATTTTTGTAATAAAGGAAGTGATTGGTGATCATTTAGTTACTAGTATCTAGACTCTACTAATGTCTACACTCTAGTATTATACTAACGTAATGTACATATAGACTCTAGTATCATTTTAAGGTAAATCATATAATTTTTATTTAGATAAATATTTTTCAGTATACAAAGAATTACTATATTAGGAATGCTTCTAATGATTTTTTTCTTAGTACATGCCAATGGAAAACGAGTAATTGGCGGAGCTAAACAATGAACAGATTATATATATATTAATATATAATCTACATACCGTTTATTAATGGATACATATAGGTATATATATTAATCATTAATACTTATTTTGCTACATTTAAATGGCATTTGTTATTGATTTTTTAGAGTAAAAGCATCTAAAAGCATGACACACAATGCAAACAAAGGATTTAAGTGAGATTCTGATTGACTCATGTGCAATGAGATTTGATAATAGCTACTCACATAGGTCTTGCGTACAAAAGTTTTGATAATGCTAAAATTAGGGTATACTTATGAAACACATATCTATTTGTACGTAAGTATAGAAAGATACAAAGTTTTGATAATCTGGCCCCTGGTAGTTACCATTAGTCATGGATTATATCTACTTTTTGAGCCACAACTAGAATTTCCCACCATTTTTGAAGCAATAAGATTCCAATTTGAAATCTTTGGGTTCCGGAAATGGCGGGAAAACTCTAGTCCCGGCAGTATAATGTTAGAAGTTTTCCATTATTGTTGCAGTGGGTGGAGAGTAAGGGATATACTATCAAAGTTGATTGCAGCATTTTCTTATTAAAAATTATCCAGCAACACATCTTGAAAATGGCTGGCAACGTTTTGGGCTCAAAATCCATATCTTGGTGATGCTGCTTGCCAACTCTGCATCCTGGTATTTTATAAATAGATTTATTCAGATCCATCTCTATAGCCCTATTTAGAATATTGGACAGGACTGCATGGCAACATTCTAAATGCCTTCTAAATGACCATGAACCTATGTAATCAAGGAGCTGAGTGGCCAAAAATAGGAGCATGCTTGCCCCAATAAGAAAGGGCCTGCAGCAGCAGTGGCAAAGCGCTTGTCCCACTACAATAGGGCTGACTGCTGCTGCCAGCCTGCTTGTCAAAGTGGCAAACCAGCGATATTTGGAATCATCATTTCTAATTTTCTCAAGATTTAAAACCAATATCTTATGTATGATGATGCTGGTATCCATGATACTTTGCTCGTCTACTTATAGGACTTGAAATTCAACTTGAAGGAGAGTTTAAAAGACTCTCTGCTTTGTCACTATGCCGCTCGTATAGAAATGTGCCACTGTCCTGCTCCGTGCTCCCCAGCCACTGTGCAGAGAGTGGATGAATATTGCAAGATCTTTGGCGATGCTTCAGTAGCAAAATTTACGCCTTCAGAAGATCTTGCCGACACATTTAGATTGAAATTCTTGCAATTAATATATTTGTCAGTCTTCGGCCAACTATTTAGAAAAAAGTAAGGTTTCAGGTATATGGAGGATGCATCAGGATGCAGTGAAGCTTGTCTGGAAATCAGTTACGATGAGTTCCTGCCAAAACAACAAATGTAAACAAGTTTATGATTGCGTAGTTGCCGTCACATTAGAGCAATCAGACTGCATTATCCAGGGTGCAGAAGGTGGAAGCAGCATTGCCAATATATGCGTTTTTAAGCCCAAAGCATCGCCGACCATTTTCAAGATGCGTCGCTGGGTAATTTTTAATGAAAAGCCATTTATGCTGAGTAATGAAAAACTATTTACAAGCCACGAACTTATTTACAAGGTTGCATGCACATGTTACCCCAAATAACTAATTTTACCATAAAAACAGTCCGATTGTACAGCAAGTATCAAATGAACATGTGATGATGCAGTCTGACTGCTCTAATGTGACCACAACTACATTTTGTTTACATTTTTTTGGCCGGAACTCATCGCAACCGATTTCCAGACAAGCTTTACTGCATCCTGATCCATCCAACGTACCAGAAACCGTACTTTTTTCTAAATAGTGTGCCAAAGACTGACAAATATATTAAATGCAAGAATTACAATCTAAATGTGTCAGCAAGATATTCTGAACGCGTAGATTTTGCTACTGAAGCGTTGCCAAAGATCTTGCAATATTCATCCACTCTCTGCACAGTGGTGCATTATCACATGTTCAGTTGACACTTGCTGTACAATGGGACTGTTTTAAGGGTAAAATTAGTTATTTGGGATAACACGTGCATGCAACCTTGTAAATAAGTTCGCGGCTTGTAAATAATTTTTCATTACGTAGCATAAGTGGCTTTTCATTAGAAATTACCTGGCAATGCATCTTGAAAATGGTTGGCAACGCTTTGGGCTTAAAAACCCATATATTGGCAACGCTGCCTACCCCCTCTGCACCTTGGCTCCCCAGCGGCCCAGCGTGCTCCTCCGACCATCCTGGTGGACCTAAATCAGTAAATGTCTAACCATTTTCTAGAATTCCACCATGGACTACAGGAGTTTCCTAAAAGTTAAAATAAATGATAGTTTTATAGGTTATTTAAAAAAAAAATTCAGATAAAACTAGGCAGTTTTTTTTATTTTTTACTGAAAAATTAGCAGAAGGCTACAGGAACAGGTAAAATTAGCATATTCCTGGCATTTTTGTCTGATTTACAGTGGCTTCTGCCCAATTTCCCGCTTTGGTCTATAAGACTTTAACTCTGCCGAATTTGTAATAAAAATTATAGAAAATGTATGGTAAAGTTTCTACACAGATATATAGTTAAATTTATGCATTTATAATTTCAAAAAATGGAATTTTATACAATTCATCCCCAAATTGTGGCTTTAGAAAGAGATTGACCTTCAGTTCAATTCATTGAAGAGGTCCAGCTCAATTCAATTCATTCAACCATGAAACAAAGTCAACATTGCAAAACCATTCGTCACCTCAGGATTACTTGGAAGGCTGGAAAGATCTTTGCTGTGCAATTTTTCTCGCACAGAATCAAGACTCTCTTCAGCAGGAACATCTTCATCAAAAGGTAGTAAAACATCTGGATTATTCAAATCTAGATCTGGATTGAAATTTTTGTCAAAAAAATCAATTGTTTTTCTCCTGTGGGCCATTTTCATCTGGAGTTTTGGTTGCAGTTTGTTCAGCAGTGGCCAGTGCAGGGATCACTGATCAGGCCCAGGGAGGTAGCGTCCAACTGGCTTGTTACCATCCTGCATTGTTGACATCAATCAGCTGTTCAGCTATCGTCAAGAAGGCAAAAGTGCAAATCTCGCGAACCTTATAGTCAAATTTGTTAAAACTTATTCAGGAATTGTTTCTCGAAAATAATAAAAAGCAGCACCTGTACATATTTGCATAGCCAATGAATACCAATTTTTATCTAAAAATGAAACAAATGTTCTAGTTTTTTAACGAAATCATACGTGAAATTCGGTAGTTATATATTTTCGTGAGCTCACAATTTATTTTCGAATATATGGATTTCATACCGCACATTAGTAGGTAATGATGCCTCTTCATAAAAAAAACTTCTGCACGTGGCAGCGTAAACTAATTTATATATTATATTTTTATAATAGAAAAGTTTGGAAGAAGATAGTTTATATTATTAGAAAGTTCTTATTTAATGTAATTCTATCTATCATCCGCAACCGATGATGTCCAGTTTGAGCGTTTTTAGCAACTTTCAAGCGACATAAGATCGATACAACTTGCTACGTCACAGAGCTGCTCTGTCGTGCCTCCTGGAGATACACGTGAGGCCTCAGTTCGCGTGACGCCGGCAAATCTTTCTGTTTTTACTCCGAGAACTTTTCTCATTTTTTTAGTTGACTTGAATTTTAATTTTGTTCTTCGCTTGTTTGTAGGCGCAGAACTTGTATAAAACGTTACTACTGCAAAACTTTGTCTCTGCAAAATACATTCCTCTTATAGGAACAACATGAACGTTACTTTTTTTACGTTATGACATGCGGAAATAAAATCTTAAAAAAATAACAAAACAAACAATTCTCTCATTTTACTTCGTTTATAGTTGTCGGCCACTAAAGCCGCAAATACGGAGTCCATAATTTTCAGTTAGGGCTCGCACAAGCGTCTTTTTGACGCTCTAGGTTTAAAGATTAGTGATGATGTAGTAAGTCTTGAGCTAATCTACATATCATGAAAAACAACGTTACTGACGAAGTTACATCAACGGATGTAAATGAGATTAAAAAATTCCGATACTCAAAACTATTTTCGATCAATATGGTTTAGATTTTGAAGTAATCGCAGAAGGATCATTATTCAGAATGATATTATTAATACTATAATAACCACATATGAATATGCGTTGGCTTCGTAGCTATGACATCGGTGCTACCAGTAATCAAGAGACACGTGGCAGAATTCAATTGACGGTTCCTAATATATTTTTTAATTTTAATATTATTACTATTAGCTATTTGCTACAATTTCTAGTGAAGAACGACTTTAAATTTAAGAGAACAACGCAAATTTCAACGTTAAACCTTTCAGCCTTGATGGTTGAATATTTTAATGGGGAAAAGTACCGAGGGAGCTCCTATGGCATTCATTTTTGGTTTAGTTATATAATGACAGGTGACAGGTAATGACATATATGTGATAGCGTCAGTTGATATATATGGTGCAGTCAGTTGACAGTTGATTGACACTACTATCATGAACTGCTTGCCACTACTAGAAATTGCCTGCCGCTTAAAAAAGTTGCATAATAGGAACAGCCTGAAGGCTATAATATTTTTTGTCTATGAAGAAAACTGGCAAATATAAGAGCCTGGCTTGTGAAGGAACTGCTTGTGATTAACAGAAACTGACTGTTGCTGGTAGTACCTTACCACTATCAAGGAACCAGCAACCACTAATACAAGCTGCCTGTTGTTAATAGGAACTGTCAGCTGATAAAAAATAGAATACAAGATAAAATATACAATTGTATAGTAAGGATATTTATATTAAAGATAGAATAAAAATGAAAAATAGTAGGTAAAAATAAGAAATTCTAAGTCGTTGGCAATAGTAGAGTAAGAGAAATGTTACATCGCGGTACCGTAGACTTTTGTATTTATGGCGCTAGTAGCCGCGGCGACACGTGCTGCGCGCGTCACGTTACCGGCGCGTCGCCCCCCACCCCCTGCAGATCTTCAGAAGTTTCCATCATTTCCGGCCATCATTTACGAGTATTATAATGTATTGCTGTACTATTGTTATAACAGTACAGTGAGTGGCATGTATGATTGATATGTCTGTGAGTGAACACATGCATGGAGTTTATGTGTAATAAAAAATTATTTTCTGAAGTGTATTTTTATCTGTAAAACTCTAAACTTCGCTATAAGCTAGTCTGTTATCATTTTGTCAATGCTTTTCAAGTACCATTAGTTCAGTTCAAGTTGTGATATATGATGATATTTCACTTAAAATTATAAATACCAATTAGTAAGAAGGAGCTTTATGAGAAACTTTGAATTTTAGATGCGTGGAACTGACATTTTTCTAAATATTGCAGAATTTCAAAACAATATTCGTTATTTATTAGCCTAATTTGCGCCTAGAAACGTGGAAAAATCTCTGGAACGTACCGTGCTGACCTCGCGTATTTTCTCAGTGCTGCCTCGGCAGCGGCCAGGAAAGGATGTGTGTGTGTGACGCCTGTGCGAGTGATCGAAGGCCACAAAACATGTGACCGCAACCTTCAAATTTTTCCTTCTGAGTAAACACATTCTATTTGTGAAATATTAATTTTTAACACTAATATTTCTTACTCATTTCGTTAAAATACATTATTAGAATAAATTTTGCTGAAAGTTATTAGTGAAAAATTGATAATATAATTACAGATCCATGTGAAAGTTACTCTTACCCATTCACATTCGTTACTCTTACCCATTCACACATGCAAACGCATGTTTTTCGATCAAAAAATTTTGTAAAGTGAAAACATGAACTTGGTTTGAACGGGAGTTGCGTTGTGTACGTCGTTTGTGCCTGTCGTTGCGTTTGTAAACGTTCGCTGCTTACGTTAGACCTCTTCGTATTATTAGTACTCTTATGGCGCTTTATACCGTTTTTTCTGTTTGGTATTTTAATCTAAGATTTGCGTCATTTTCATAAACATTTTTCATTAGAATTTTATTTTGTGCGTGTGTGTTTTGATCCGGTTTTTAAATTGTTTTTTCGATTATAATTTTAATCGAAATTGGTAGATTATTTATTATTAGCCATCATTGCCGCTAATTTTATTTTTGTTATTCAACACGTTTTTCAACACGTTATTCAACACGTTTTTCAACACGTTATTCAACATTTATTCAACACGTTACTCAACACGTTATTCAACACGTTATTCAACATGTTATTCAACACGTTATTCAACATGTTATTCAACACGTTATTCAACATGGTATTCAACTTATCACTTATAAACAAATCTGCCTTGATTTGCATAGATGTTGGTTGACTGAAGATAAATTAGAATCGAAAAATAAAATTTATTTATCCGTGATGAATCGTAATTACTTCCAACATATTAATCCTCTTGTGGATATAAGCATAAACAAAGATTAATTAATTTAGTGAAAATAATATAAAATTGACGCTGAAATTTTTGTGACTGTAAACTACTGCATTTAGAGCTTCTCAAAAATTATTGTGATACATAAAATATTTTGGACGTTTATTATTTAAAGGAATTGGGCATAAATTTGATTTTTTGCCTCATTTAATGTGGAAAGATTAATTCATAATTAATCTCCTTTGCATCCGTAAAATTGGTTACCTGCGTTCGCACTGGCGGTTTTAATGAGAATAAATCCCAAATTCAGTCCCACCGCCAATCCCATATTACTTCCTAATATGGGATTTGTGATTAACAGGAAGTAATATGCATGTTCAATCTTACCGCCAATCCCATGTTCAATCCTACCGCTAAACTCATTTCAATCCTACCGCCAATCCCATGTTCAATCCTACCGCTAAAGGCGGCCGTCAGCCCTCATGCTGACAGATGGTCCTGGCGGCCGTCAGCCCTCATGCTGACAGATGGTCCTGGCGGCCGTCAGCCCTCATGCTGATCAACATTGTCAGCATTAGGGGTTTCATATCATCACCTCCACTGATAGCTATTCCCAAGTATTTCATTCGTTCAGGTTGGTTTACATCAAAGCTCAAAACAAATTAACAGATGTTCCAATTACCATATTTGGTGATAACCTCTTTAGTAACCTTTATACTAACTAGTGGCCCTAGGTAACGCTAGATCTTAACAAATACTCAACAACTAATTCTCATTAACCTGATTTTTAATTGATGTTCCTTTAGTTAATTACGACCATTGTTTCCACGTAGTCATAGAGGGCTGATATCGACTAAGAAGAGTGGGATAAAGACACGACAATGTTGTTGATACGTGTTGTCTATAAGCTTATGGTGTCGTTAGCGCTGTAGCGGGCATATTAGTAATTAACTTTATTGGTGATATGTGTTATTGGCCCTTTTATGTTGAATAGTTTCCTCACTAGCATTGTTGTTGCCATCAATGGTTTTCATCAGTCTCCTGTTGACAGTTGCCAATAACGATATCGTTGTCAGGTGTTGCCACTCGAGTCTATGTTGGAATTACAACGTTACATATAAGGAGAACTATTTAACATAAAGGCCGACCAGAGAGAATTAATAGAAGAGTTGCAAATACCTTAGTGCATAAGGCCCTCGTTATCATGAGACGTGAACAGCACGCAGTCGAATGACAATGTATATACGTGTACGAGGAATGAATGTCGCTCACAAGAAATCGGCATTGCGAACAAGTAATGAACATTAACATTGCATATACACGAAATGTAAATATTAAACATTGCACGCAAGGAACGGAGGAAATGAAAATTGCACACAAAAAACGATTATTGTTAGCATTGCACACAAGTAGCGAACAAAATGAACATTGTACACAGAGAACGATGTTAATATTATACACATAACGAACATTGTGAACATTGCTTGAGCTGTGTCCACACATAGTGTACAGGAAATGACTCCGACAAAGGTCTCCAGCAGCAGCTGCAGCAGCACCAAAAAAAGAAGGTCATGTAGCAACTTTTGGCGTCAAGGTTGCATGATATCACCAGAGCTTGTCGGACCTGGCAGCAAAGAAAGAGACTGTGCCATGAGGCGGAGTCCCTGCCAATCCTTTGCTAAGAGTCCTTCCAAACTTCCAGCAGTTTGCAGGATCATGTGAAAAATGAGAGTGATCCACAGAAATTTTCTGAAATAATTTTAAGCGTTTTCATCATTTTACCTGGGGTTGGCTTCTAAATTACATACAATATAACTAATTTAACTGCAATACATGTATCTGCGAAAAGGTAGAAAATTTAACAAGTTATGAGCATGAAGTCCAAGTTATATCAAACGACTCTCGTATGAGTAGAAAAACTCAGGTAAGCCTATTTAAATTTAATGGATAGTAAAAAAATTATGACAGAAAACAACAAACAAACGGCAGTAAGTTGATTTGTCAGTACGTCCCAGTTTTATAATTCTAGCCGCAATTTCTAGTCAAGTCATCATCTTCAATGGTGAATTTCAATTATTGCAGATGGTGATAGAAATCTTAAGCCAATGCCGTCAGTTGTGGCATTGAATAGTGCTTATGAGAAGCCAACAGCAACTGTGTGCTCAGTAAGATTTGTCGTCCACTTCCGCCTCGAAATCTCGCGAATGTTCATGTCTTGAACCACTTGTTTATAAACTCATGAATGCCATGACTCAACATGCTGTCGTAACATTCCAACAAGCGCTGCGTCGAAGGATTGTCGATTCAATGAGTTTGCGCAAGCTCTGTGGTGGCGTAATACTGGCAAGTTTCAGACGCTTTGCGGTTCACTTCAAGATCGAAGTGACCTCCCTGAGAAGTAGGAACTAGAGAGAGGAAGGTCACAAACGCAGGAAACCGCCGCTGCTACTTTGTTCCAGATTGTGCGAGTATGACAACTTTGGCTCCTGAGCTACGGCCAAGGCAGCGACTTCCGCATCGTATGATAGCTAAACGGAGTAGCGTCAGTGAGCTTGTAATAAGTGCCTTTAGTGATCCTTGCAACAGGAAATTGGTGTACGTCTGTGTACCCTAGTCGCATACATTCCGAACTGGGAAAGTTGGAAATAAATAATGACGAGAATAGTTCGTACCAGGAAATTGCAATGCAATATCATGAAGCGGGGAGCAGTCACATCGCTGTGATGAAAACCAGTTTATTACTCATGAATGCACGAACCAAAGCAATTCTTAAAGGAATCAATTACTTCATGAACTGACGATATGGAGATACTCGAATGTAGGTTAATTAATTAACCTACAAATTAATTACCTACATTCATTAATTAACCTGAATTAAGGTTAAAGTTAAAGACCAACAAGAAAAGATATTGTCTTTTTTGCGCTCACGCATTACTGAACAAAGATGGAACCAGATCCAAGTGTAAAAACATGATAGGAAGTGTACATCCGTCCAATGAGCTCGGCACCAGAATAATTTTTATATAGCAGCCCTGCTTAATTGCTATTTATTTTCTTTACCTTATTGTAGTAATTAATGCCTTAACAGGATTATTGTCAAACGGATTAATGTTACTCAAGGGCTTTTTATTTTTGTTTCAGAATCGCGTGCTATGAAATCATCGAACCACGCCAGCGATGACCTGTAGAATTCGTCCACAGTTTCCAGGTATGATAAATCACTGACACTTCCAATTTTATATTTTGAAAACGAATCTTATATTACTTAGTTACTAATTAGTAACTTTGATTCGATTAAATTAAAAAGAAATATCTTCATCAGTATGGTTAACTTAAAAATAATTTAAATGCGTAAACTTGATGAAAAAATTAAAAATTTAATTTAGTTAATTTGTAAAGATCATTTCTTGTCTCCTGTTTGTACATGTCTTTTCTAGTATTTTTAAACTCACTCTACGCGATTCCTTCGGTCGTCCAAAAGTTTGCAAAAAAATTTAAAAGTTCGTAAAAAAGTTTAGAAGTTCGTACACAAGTTTCAGAAGGATTCCGATGTTTACAAAGTAAAAATATTGTATTAAAGTTTGAACAGCTAAAATTTTAAATTCAATAACGAATGTAGATCACAGTTACCGATTTTATAATAGCAAAAATTATGATATTATTGTATTGTTTACATTTTAATTTTTTCGCCATTAGTGAACAACATCGGAAAAATAATTAGTTGTGTATAAAAAAATTGCAAACCAATCTAAAAACTTCATAAATTATCGCTGTATGCTGAGAAGGTCATTAGTGCTCAGCTGCCTCTCAATCTCCTTAGCACTCAACACTTTTCAATGTCATTAGTACTTAGCTACCCTTCGATCTCCTTAGCACTCGGAACTTTTCAATCTCATTAGTACTTAGCTACTTCTCAATCTCCTTAGCACTCGACACTTTTCAATCTCATTAGTACTTTGCTACCCCTCAATCTCTTTAGCACTCAGCACTTTTTAATCTCATTAGTACTTATAGCTACCTTTCAATCTCCATAGCACTCAGCACTTTTCAATCTCATTAGTACTTAGCTACCTCTCAATCTCCTTAGCACTCGACGCTTTTCAATCTCATTAGTACTTAGCTACCTCTCAATCTTCTTTGCACTCAGTACCTGTCAATATCATTAGTACTCAGCTATCCTTCGATATCCTTAGCACTCGATCAGCACTTTTCAATCTCATTAGCACTTAGCTACCTCTCAATCCCTTACTATACAGCACCTTTCAATCTCATTAGTATCTAGCTACCTCTCAATCTTGTTAGCTAACAAACCTAAATACTTCACCAGCAGTAACTTAGAATTAAAACTTCACCAAGAATCAGCAACTTTAAAATTCAATCTATATTAATAATTAGCATTGCCAAAAACGAGCTTGATGTGTTGAACGGCATTTCAAACATACAAATTTTTATCCCAAAGCATAGCTATGATGCCGTAAAGTTTACGGCTGAATAAGAGATGAATTATGGGGCTGTTGTTTTACCTTAACTCTGCAGACTGTGTGACAGGACCTTAAGTCTTCTCGCGGGATATCGGGACCTTAAGTCTTATGACAGATTGCGGACCTTAAGTCTCCTGGCACGGCGTCTGGACATTAAGTCTTCTGGCGGTCTGTCTGAACTTGAGTCTTCTGACAGATTGCAGACCTTAAGCCTTCTCGTGGGGTATCGGAACCTTAAGTCTTCTGACAGATTGCGGACCTTAAGTCTTCTCGCGGGGTATCGGGACCTTAAGTCTTCTGACAGAGTGTGGACCGTAAGTCTCGTGGCCGGGTGTCTAGACCTTAATTAAGACCTCTGGCCCAGTGAATGGACCGTAAGTCTTCTGTTGGGAGACATGAACCTTAAGTCTTATCTTTATGATCTTGATTTTAATTTTTTTATTACGCCTTCTTACCTTGAAAATAAGGTTACCGCGGCAACCCATGCGGTCTCCTGCCTGGTCAGGAAGAAAATCTGTGTCTGGCTTAGAACTTACCTCAAGGTTTGGTTCGAATCGCTTTCGTGATCCAAGACAATTAAATCATAATGCTAATGCGACGATGGTTTATTATTGGTTGGACCCCTGATTTTCTTTTCGGAGTGATCCATACCATGAAACCATCATTAAAATATGTGTTTTCTGGAGGGTGAAATCCATGCATAACTTTTCAGCATGTAAAACGAACTGCAGGTAGCTTTTGGCTGTACCAGTTAGCAAATGAGCTTTTTACACTAAACAGAAATTGTTTGTTAGCTAACCTTGAGGCCAAGTTCTAAAAAGGGTTCCTCAAAAATTTTCCCTTCTAAATTTGACCAACTCAGCGGCATCAGAACCTTGCATGGTTGCGGGTTAGGTCCAACGAAGTCAGGAGCTTAGATGATCTTTAACAAATGAACTAAATTACACTATTAGCTAAAGTTATTGTCTTACGTTTCTCTATTTGTTGCTAGATCTTCCTTTCATTGTTAAAATAGAGTATATTAAATAAAATTGTAAGTTTTTCATCCATACGAATGGCCAGAAATGACCACCTTACCCCAAAATGTTTGAGTAAAGTAGGATTCGCCTTTTAAGTGCACTACATTAACGATGTTGTCATCTTTCAGATTAACGAAGAACCGTGACTGACCGAAGCCTCCTCAGCACAAATTAGTTTATCTCGAATTACACGAAGCGATTAATTAGAAACGAACACTTAAAAGAGAAGCTCGCAAAAAAGAGTTTCCCTGGTAGAGAGATTACCTTCAGGTCCATAGAGAAATTTCATTCTTTCATTCAATAATACTTCGTCGAAGCTCACGTTCAGGAAAACACAGTTATTTAACTCTCTATAGGTTCTAAAACGAGATTAACTGAAAATCTCGTGTTTCCCACTCAATTTCTTTAGCATAAGATCTGAAACACTTTAAGCTGTATCTGAAAATATACTCATATATATTAATACTTAAGATCATATTGCCGTAGTCCCTAAGAGAGAAAATTTATATTTCTATAAAAGTATTTTTAATTCACACTTGTTTAAGAAACACATATATAAAAAATCACCCTCGATTTGCTTTGCGTTTCCCAGCGAGCGTACTTACTTCCGTCCGTTTAAGGTAACGCTTTGCTCACAACCTCAACCAAATCGATTTTCACTCCCACTTAATAACTTTAAACGTTAAAAGTATTCGAAGATATCCTTGAAGAGATCAACCAGAGTATAGAAACGTAGAAGTTTACCACTTCACTACTCGCGTTGTAGTCTCTATGAAAGGTTCACGTAAGGTAGAAGTAGGAACACAAGTAGGGATATTTAGACTGCGCACAGCTTAGTACCGAGATCATCCACGAAGCATTGGCCCTCCATGCCTGGCTACCTGAGCGCCCCCTACTGGAACTTCGAAGCCGACTCTTCCAGTATGGTCTCTTTCTCAGCCCTGGTGAGTGCTTCCACACTGTTTGAAAAATCACCGTTAAACGGTATTACCGGGTTTTCAGTAACCGGCCGGTATGTGAAAATAAACACCGTATTGCCGTTTTTATTCCAATTTTACACTAGAAAGCCGTGCAACATCTAAAAAAACGGCGAAATGTTTTTTTATTTCGGGGCACCTGGTTAGTAGAACGCCGGAAAGACCGTTTATTCAATGTTTTTTTTTTCAAACAGTGCTCTGTAATCATTGTTGATCTGTTCATTATTAATATTGGACTCTAATATTATAATTTCAATTGATTTGATGACAGTTATCATCGTCGTTGTTATCGTAATTTTTATTTATAGTGGCTTCAAAAATACCTTCAGTTCTCTCACTATTTTTAAGGTCTTGCCAATTGCTCTGATTATTAAACTTCTTCAACGAATGAACTTGTAAAAATGAGAATGTTATACTCTTACCATTTGAAAGTTAGTTCTCTATCGTTATCAATTTTATAGACCATGAATGCTTTACTTCTTGAAGTGGACTGCTATTACGATTTACTTTTGATATATTCTTCATAAACAATCCTGCACATAAAAAAGTGGGCTCATCGTAACAAAAATCCTAAATAACTTACTACTGTTCCTTATTTAAAAATTCAGCAATCCCCAATATTAAACAAGAAAATTTAAGCATCACGAATATATTTTCATATTAATTCAATGCTTGTCGACTAATCCTGCCATATATATACCAGCCAAAACTTCGCACTCTATCTGTCTGTCCGTCCGTCTGTCCGTGACCTCAAGTTTTCGTCGACGAGAAAATACGCTCTCTGTCACTCAGTGCAGTGAGTACCCTGACTTATATATTTTTTGCAGGATGACAACAACTCCGGCCTGAACTTCTGTGGCACAAACCCCAACCTGCACTCGTCGTCCCACACACCCATGGGCCTCGGCCCCATCGCTGGGTCTGGCCCCATGAGTGCCTCAGCAATGGGCCTGAACTCTGGCCCCAATGGGCTTAACTCCAGCAGCAGCGGCATGGGTCCAACCCTGAGCCAAAGTAGGACTGACGTGGGTTCATCTTCAGCCTCGTCAGGGAGCTGCTCGCTGAACCCTCTCGCTGACGAAGGAGGTGGTCTTATCATCATCTCAGCAGCTGACGTCAACGGTGTGCTCACTGACGTCGATGATTTCGCCTCAAATGATAACGAAGATTTCAGCACCGATGATTTCGGCCGGAGCCTCGGCTCCGACGACTACGCTCCAATCAGCGACTCCTTCTCCCTGGAGCAGTTCTTCCCTAACGTCAATAACGTGGGTTTTTTAGATTATAAATAAGATTTGCAGTGCCAGATGAGATTTATTAAAGTGTGTTTTTTAGATTATAACGTGCAATTTAGATTTAGATTATAACTTGGGTTTTTTAGATTATAAAAAAGATTTGCAGTGTCAGATGAGATTTATTAAAGTGGGTTTTTTAGATTATAACGTGTAATTTAGATTTAGATTATAACGTGGGTTTTTTAGATTATAAAAAAGATTTGCGGTTTCTGATGAGATTTAGTAAAGTGCTGCATATAATACCTCATGGATGATATAAACGAATAATATGCTGACTGCAGCATCAAAATTGCTATTATTGACGGAAGATAACACAATACATCATTAGTTTTACCATCAATATTAGTATCGTGCAATGGTGCAACTGATATCACGAAATTTGAAGAAGAATATTCTGACTTAGTTATGACTTTAATAAATATAATCTTGAAAATATTGGTTGAATTTCGTTGATGTATGAAGTTATGTTGATGTTTGACACCTTGCATCTTAAAGACATACACGATATTGGGATAAGTTGTGTAGTCGTGTCGTGATATTACCTGGCCTGAATATTCATACTGCATGAGGAGAATTATTGTAAATCATTGAAAATTTTTTAAAGAAAGGATTGAGCCGGAAATTTAAATTTTATTTTTGAATTGGTATGCATGACTTCTATTCTTCTAAAAGGCAAAATAGTTTTTTCGTATTATGAAACGAGAGTCCAATAATAATTTCATGTAACATGCTAAATTTGGGCTTGAGCGTTTTTTTTCAATTAGAACACATATACTTCACGATTATCATTATTATGGGATTGAGACATCGGTAACGATGGAATTCAGAATTCAGGTTACAGAGTTTTCAAAATTGTAGGGATTATCGAGTCCGGGTATTGCCGAGCTAACCTGCTAGTTAAGTTAAAGATAACCGATGATTATCTTTACACAGTTTTAAGTTTTTTTACACAGTTAAGTTTAAGTTACACAGTTAAGTTTTTAAGTTTTTTTTACACAGTTTCAGTTTTAATAATTATCTCCATTTGCATGTAATTAATACAGCTTTTAGTAAAATCGGTTAACCAGGGACCAAAAGGGATTTGTGAAGCCCGTTTTCGCGGAACGGAAGATCGTTAACGCTTGAGTTGAAATTACCTCTTTTTTTCAGAGCGATGACGACAGCCTGCTGCGTAGTCAGTACCTGAATAACAACTGCGAATTTAATGACCGCAACCAATTGATAACCTCAAGCAACAACGGCCTGAACAACAGCAATAACAACAGTAACAACAGCAGAAGCAACAACAGCTGTCGGGCCAGAAGAGATGCATCCTGCCTGAGCTCCCTCAGCTCCATGGCGCCTAACTTCAATATCAAGGAGGAGCCTGACCTGTACCTGGTATGATGTGTGATGGTGTGATGTGCCTGGTGTGATGGTGTGATGTGTCTGGTGTGATGGTGTGATGTGTCTGGTGTGATGTGTGATGGTGTGATGTGCCTGGTGTGATGTGCCTGGTGTGATGTGTGATGGTGTGACTGTGTGATGGTGTGATGGTGTGATGTGCCTGGTGTGATGGTGTGATGTGTCTGGTGTTATGATGTGACATGCCTCTTGTGATGGTGTGATGTGCCTGGTGTGATGGTGTGACATGCCTGGTGTGATGGTGTGATGTGCCTGGTATGATGGTGTGACATGCCTGGGGTGATGGTGTGATGTACCTGGTGGGATATGCCTGGTGTGATGGTGTGATGTACCTGGTGGGATATGCCTGGTGTGATGGTGTGATGTGCCTAGAGTGATCATCTAGTCTAGGTTCTAAAGTATGATCATTAATTAGCACTTCGTATGATCATAAGTATCAGATATTACAAACATAAACATGTTACAGTTCGGCGTTACTTCAAATAACAAAAAGATATTAAATCCTAATGATCAAATTGCACGAAAATTTTAATTTACCCGTTCAAATCTAGATAATTAAAATATTGATGATTGTGAACGAAATTCATACAAATTATTGCAAGAAAAAATTAATAATCTTTCGTACTTATGTCGAAGTTTGTGGTTTATTGGCGAGTTTGATGCCTGCTCCGTGATGGACTTCACGGAAAACCGCGTATATTCTGTCAGATTTATTAAAAAATATCAGTAATTCAACAGGACGAAGCCTCTACCCACTATTCTACCCTCACAGGACGAAGCCTGTACCCTCTATTCTACCCTCACAGGACGTAGCCTCTACCCTCTATTCTACCCTCACAGGACGTAGCCTCTACCCTCTATTCTACCCTCACAGGACGTCGCCTCTACCCTCTATTCTACCCTCACAGGACGTCGCCTCTACCCTCACAGGACGTAGCCTCTACCTCTATTCTACCCTCACAGAACGAAGCCTCTACCCTCTATTCTACCTTCACAGGACGAAGCCTGTACCCTCTATTCTACCCTCACAGAACGAAGCATGTACCCTCTATTCTACCCTCACAGGACGTAGCCTGTACCCTCTATTCTACCCTCATAGGACGAAGCCTCTACCCTCTATTCTACCCTCACATGACGAAGCCTGTACCCTCTATTCTACCCTCACAGGATGAAGCCTGTACCCTCTATTCTACCCTCACAGAATGAAGCCTCTACCCTCTATTCTACCCTCACAGGACGTAGCATCTACCCTCTCTTTTACCCTCTCAGGACGAAGCATCTACCTTCTATTCTACCCTCACAGGACGTAGCCTCTACCCTCTATTCTACCCTCACAGGACGTATCCTCTACCCTCTATTCTACCCTCACAGTACGATGCCTCTACCCACTATTCTACCTTCACATGATGAAGTCTCTACCCTCTATTCTACCCTCACAGGACGACGACCACATGGGGACCAGCGGCCTCCTCACCCCCGGTCCCCTAGACAGCCCCACGTTCACCCAACTCGCCCCAGCCCAGCCCTATCCCCCAGTCGGGGTTCAGGTACGTATATATCGCTGGTGTTAATATAAAAAAAAAAATTGAGTAATAAACATTTCTCATTTATCTTGTTTTCGAGGATTAAAAGAAACTGCGTTTGTTGATGCCTGAATCACGAAGAAAATATATTTTCTCTTCGTATAATAGATTTATTTAGCTATGATTTTTTTAATGAAGGTTCTGACGATGCACATCGAAATTGATTAATTTTTAATTTATGTTCGTTATAGTTATAATATTTTAAGTTAAAAATATGAAAGATAAACTATTTGATTCTCACTGGATGAGATGCTGATGCTAGTGTCTGCTCTACAGACCGACCAGTCGTTCGCTAGTCTGCTGAAAGACAACAATGACGTCAGCAATGTGACGTCATCAGTCAGCTCGTCAGCTGACAGCATCAAGAGAGAGAACAACAGCAATGTTGCAGCCGGCAACCCTCTATTGGCAGGTCAGATTCGAAACTGAAATAAATAAAAGAATATGCTTTATAATTTAGCTTGTTAAGTTACACGCAAATATTATGCAGTAACACTTTCCAATTAATCAATTGTTGCAAATCAATATTAGGAGATTATTTTGCTCATGAGTTTATTAAACATAACGTAAGAGTTTATTATACATTACGTAAAATGTTTGTTCGCGCACATTTTTGGTGATAATTCTTTTTAAAATGAAAAAGTTTGAACGCAGAAAAATTAGTTAATCGCTATTTCATCATTCCTAGTTCTAATTCATGCCTATATAATGATGATTACTACTGCTAGATTAGAATAACTAAAAAATTAGATTAAAAGATTGCTAAACTGGATTGATAGATTACTAAACTAGATGAAAAGATTGCTAAATTAGATTAAAAGGATAATAAAGTAGATTAAAACATTACAAAACTGGATTAAAAAGCGTCTCCTTAAATTATGCACTTTTTTCGAGTTAATTTGCGAGTAGAATGTAGGAATTCAATCAAATTAAAAGTCGCATATATGAAAATTAAATTTATAACCTTACTTTATACACACGATCTTTGATTAGATCATCATCACGATTGTTTTTAAAAGATCGTCTTAACATTATTTGGGATGCATGTGCTTACAGATTGATCAGTGAAAGAATGTTCTCCTGGCAAACGATTTTGAAATAGAAAGTTATATTTTTGTACATGAAATTAGCACCGAAATTAACATAGAAACTTGCGCAGGGATAACGTCGAACGACTTGCAGCAGCGAGGAAGGAGAGAGGTCATTCACTTCTATATAATATATAAGAATACAGATATATATAAAAACAGTATATGTAATATATGTACATGTTATTCTTTAGAACATGTAATATACATTTTTTCATACAAGAATAACGGGAAAACAAACAGCAACTTAATCGCTAGTAAATACAATTTCTAACAATTAATCATTAGAAGCGTTCAAATGACGTTTTTTAAGAAATGCTAAAGAAAACTCAGAGAAATAAGAGCGAGGCGCTTTTTCCATAATACGTGGGTTGTGTTGACCCACTTTGGCCTGTCAAAAGTGCGTATTTGTGCCATATCTCTGTTCGTGATATGAGTGAGAAAGTGTGTCACTATTTGCGCAGGATGATCTATTAATTTTTCTGCGTGAATAAATATGGTTTAATCATTAAATTGAATGATTCCTTGCAAATAAATTGGACAAACGCTCAGAAGACGTAGAAAAGTTAAAAAAATTCAAACTCCTAAGGTTCACATGAAGAGTTACAATAATTACAAATAAAATATGGCCAAATAACATGAATAGTTAGAAATACTGATTGAAATTTTAATAGAACTTGCGTATGTGCAGAGCTTCTGGCGTCACCGGCCGGCGACGTGTCGGCTCTCATCAACAACATCAACATTAAGAACGAAATGAAGAAGGAAACCTTGGACACGAAATGCGACTCTTATGAAGGTGAGATTCATAATTATTGTTTTTCTCTGATATCATATTTCTTGTCTTCATTTCTTGTCATACCTCGCGCCGGTATCGCAATAACGTACGAAAATAATTCCTCTTCGACAAACTGCACACCTTAACAGTAGGAAAATACGTCTTGATTTCGAGTGCCTTTGCGCGCTTAGAAGTGTTCATAACAGCTCAGGATTTCTAGACCCTGATAAAATTTGTATTTGTAGTATATTCATCATAATATACGGTGCTGTAATTCGATTTGAGTTTGGTTTTACTGAGGAATCGTTTCCTCTCATGTTATCTGATTTCCATCTTAGGTGAAATCCTCGGAATGAATTAACTGAGCAAATGTGAGTTTCCTAAGCTTTTGATCGCCTTTAAATCCAACATGAGAAGGTCTCAATCCATAATATTTTTATTCAAATGTCTCAAAAAATGTGTTATTAGTTTAGTTTCTTGGCGAGAATCGGAAACTTTATTTTTGCCCGGCTTGTGCGCAAATGCCAAAAGACGCCATAACACTGGTAGGTGAAACCCATGAAGACATTCTAAAAAAATATAACTCAGTACTCACTGCAGTGAGTGACATATAGCGCATTTTTTCGTCGACAAAAACATGAAGTCATGGACGGACAGACAGACTGACAGACAGACGGATGGACAGACAGACATGGCGAGCATAATAGTGTTTTTTTTTCATAACTGAGAAAATGCGCTAAAAAGGAAAACATGCTTGTGTCTTTAACTCTTTAACGAACATGTCGGAAATTGACTTTGGAATAAATTTCATAATAACAAAAAAATTGTTTCATGCATTCTTATGTGAAGCCATATGGTGAGTTTCATAACTACAGTATTTCATTAACCTCATCATTCACGAAATGAATGTTTTCGAAAAAGTGAGTAGTGACGTGAACCTCGGGTTGCTAAATACGACTGTAGGCAATGAATTCTTCAGCAATCTATTTGAAATCAAGATTGTTTAGCACAAAACTCACTAGCATGACATCTAATTCTATAACTAATTGAAGTGTGTTTTATAATAAGTGCTAAAAATTCAGCTTTAATGACCAAAACTTCATGATAATATATTTTTCGATCTTGCCCTCGCAATTTTGTGACAGGAAAACTACTAAAACATTAGGTTTATGTTAAAATCTGTAATATTCTTGCCTCTGAACAAGTCCCGCAAAACATCAGTAAGCAAGTAAGCAAATATCATTATCACTAAAACAACTGAAACATCAATAGCATTTTTGTCGTTTGTCCGCGCATTGTGACTATTTGCCTAATGTAATTCTAATGCATAGTAGTACGCCCGATGAATTTATTTTAGTCAGCCATCAAAAAGTCTTCTGTGATTAATCAACAAAGAAAACTATTGCTAGGGTTAACCAACCTAGAATATAAAGAGCAAATTAGATATGATATATTTTTTTTGTTATTAATTTACCTGCTTTTTCCTGAGAATTACAGGACTTATCAATAAAAAATGTTACTAATGATATTAAAAATGTTGAATGAATGAGAACTGGAAGTTATTGAATCACGATAAGTGAAAACTTGCATTATAAAGTAACTGCATCATATTGGATGAGAACAATGGTCAGTTATTTTTCCCGAAGAAGTTTGTGTGAATAGTCATTATTTAACAGGATTAAATAATAATTATGATTAACCAGCATCTCGGCTACCTTTTGCTCTTTCTCAATTAGCTTCTTCCATTACATGAATGATCAAGTCTGAGTTGAGGCGTCGCTGGAGCAACAGAATTAGCACTCATATTGTGCTGGACGAATGAAAATATGTTGTTACATAATCTTTCCGGTATTCCACAAAATCATAAATTTCGGTTTGTTTATTCTAAAAAAGACAAAAGAATACTTTGACTAAAAAATTAATGGTTATCGGAAAGACTGGAATTTTAACAACTTAAACTTCAGATGATCATATAGTTTACCATTCCCACGACAACGGTGCAATATCTACATTAGATTTAATAAATACAAACAACTTCATTCAAAGTATTATAAAAATTCCAATATATTAATTTGCATTTAAATATGTCCAAATGGGAGCAGCGTATAATAAATTATCAAGGTGTATGCAGCCAAGCAGGCTGCATGGGCATTGGGGGGCGGGCGTGTAGGGGCGGGGACTCGTGCTTGGGAGAATCTTCCTGCTTTTTCGTCAGTTTTCTCTTCATTCATTCATTTATGTAGCTTTAAAAAACATGCTTTTAATTTTCATTCACTTAAGTGGCAACATTTTATTGGTTTGATTAAATACTTTTCGAAAATACTAATATCTTTATTCGTTCGGTCATATAATTTATAATATTTCAACGTTATGTGTTAAATTCATCCATTAAATACAATTTCCTGTTACTGAAGACCAGTATGTAACTACCTGGAAAAGGGTTGGGCCCCTCTGGAACCAAGGATAGAGCCGGTCCGAGTGTCGAACCAGGGACAGGGTCGGTCAGAGGGTCGCACCAAAGACAGGGTCGGCCAGAGGGTCGCACCAAAGACAGGGTTGGCCAGAGGGTCGCACCAAAGACAGGGTCAGCCAGAGGGTCGCACCAGAGATAGGGTCGGCCAGGGGGTCGCACGTGGGACAGGGTTGGCCAGAGTGTTACACTAGGAACAGGGTCGGTCACAGGGTCGCACCAAAAGCAGGGTCGGTCAGAGAGTCGCACCACTGATAGGGTCAGCCAGAGGGTCGCACTAGGGACAGGGTCGGTCAGAGGGTCGAACCAAAAACAGGGTCGGTCAGAGAGTCGCACCAGTGATAGGGTCGGCAAGGGGGTCACACGTGGGACAGGGTCGGCCAGATGGTTGCACGTGGGACAGGGTCGGCCAGAGGGTCACACTAGGGATAGGGTCGGCCAGAGGGTCACGCGTGGGACAGGTTCGGCCAGAAGGTTAAGGGTCAAAAGTCGTGGGTGTTGTGGAGGCGTGAGTTAAAGGGATGATGCCGAGGCGGCGGCGGCGACAGCAGTTCATTCTGGCCGAGTTATCCCTAAAGGGGCGCACTGCGGCCTTAATAATGACTTATGTTGCTGTGATTTGGCTCTCATTCAGTCTTAATGTAACGGATCAATATATAATACCGGATTAATATACAGTATTTATAAGGTTTCACAATTTGCATAAAACGTGTTTTAAGTCATTTATGTTTGCTATGTAAAATTAAATTTAGCCTTAAAATACCTTTTTTCGCTACCCATATCGAGTTTCTGGGTCCCAAAAGGCATGTTAGAGCCACGGCAACTGATGCAATTTACTTCAAATTTTTGAATAATTTAAAATTTATATCATGAACCTTTGTTTCTAAATTTATCCTCCGAACCATCTGTTTCCTCGAACACAGCTCTTGGTTTTAATTCATCATTATATTCTAAAATTTTATTCACTAACTCCTCACTATTTGTTTCAGGTAAGCGGGCGCTGCAGCCCTTCATGAGTGAGTTTTCCTCACCAGTAGCGGTGAGTACCAAACTCGTCTGTCCTTTCCTGTGCTCATGGTGAATGAATTTCCATCGTTCACTCTATTCTTATAAACATTGAATGCATTCATGCAGGTATAGGCTTGCTAATGTATTAATGGTTGAAGGCCTGATATTGGAGCAATTGAAATAGGCCTGCTAATTCATGGAGCAAGTAACAAGTGGGTCAAGTAACAAGTGGGTCAAGTAACAAGTGGGTCAAGTAACAAGTGGGTCAAGTAACAAGTGGGTCAAGTAACAAGTGGGTCAGGTAACAAGTGGGTCAAGGAATGATTTTTTTGATTCCGTGACACGAGCAAGTAACAAGTGGGCAAAGTAACAAGTGGGTCAAGTAACAAGTGGGTCAAGTAACAATTAGTCTCGCCCTCACGACGCTGGTCGAGACAAAGACAGCCAACATGCGCAAGTTTTAATCGCTTTAAGTGGTGGTGTGGTGACTGTGATGTGTGGTGATGTATTGACGAGTGATGTGGTGATGTGGAATACGGTGGTGAGTGTTGTGGTACAGCGCGTGCAGTTCATATGAGGTGAACGGTATATGATAGACAAGCGATGTACTGTATGTGCGATGTGTGTTGTGTTTGACGACGTTCATTGCACACAACACACACGCATGGTGCATGATTGTGATGAAGTCGAAAGATGTAGGCATATCAAAGTTTAGCGATGATGGTGCCCCGCAGTGCCGGATTGAGGCTATTCTTGGCCGGCAGTCCGGAATTTTTAAAATTTTTTACAGCCGGCGACTCTCGGTCATGCTTTCCCTTTCAACGGTTCCTTAATTCAGTGTTTTATTTGTAAAGTATAAGCATTCATGTTTTATTTGTAAATTATAAGCATTCACATTTATGGCTACATTAACATTCATGTTTATGACTGTCTCAATATTATTTTTTGTGGCTACATCAATATTCATGCTTATGGCTACATCAACATTCATGCTTATGGCTACATCAACATTCATGCTTATGGCTACATCAACAATCATGTTTATAGCTACATCAACATTCATGTTTATGGCTACATCAACATTCATGTTCATGGCTACATCCCTGTTTGGGGCTAGATCAACATTCATGTTTATGGCTACATCAACATTCATGTTTATGGCTACATCAACATTCATGTTTATGGCTACATTAACATTCCTTTTTGCATCTACATTAACATTCACGCCCCAAGATTAACGTACTAAGCATTAACATTCACATTCATTGAGTCAATCCATGAATGTTCATGCGGCAGTTTCATGCCTCATACGCATATTCCACGCCACAAGGGCTCTGATTTTCCGAGCATAAATTGCGCCTATAAGTGCGGTATGTAGGTCAGTCTCGGGTAATTTCACAGGTCAAGCTTTGATAACTCATCGATGAGGTCAATTATTGATCTATATCGTCCATACACGCCAGAAATATCAAGCTTTACTCAGTCTCGACACAACCTTTTTGCCGTTGATTTATTTCTGAGCTTCCTTAGTTTATTAAGAATT